TGGTTTGTCAGAGCATGAAGCCTGTGGGAGCCTCGTTGGATAAGTGCTGTGGAAGGTTTTCCATTTATCATTGGAGGGTAAAGCTCAAGAGTGGTACATGAGCCTTCCAAGCCATGTGGCTGATGCATATCACAGTTGGGGGAACTTAAGGAAAGCATTCTTGGAGAAATACTTTCAGGCTTCTCGGACTTCATCAATGAGAAAGGAGATCTATTCAGCTAAGCAAGACTATGACGAGTCTCTTTACGACTATTGGAATAGATTCCAAGACTTGCTCTCGAGGTGCCCACATCATCAAATTCCAGATAAACAATTGGTGTAGTATTTTTATGATGGGTTGAAGAACCAAGAGAAGGGTATGTTAGAGGCTGCATCAAGAGGATCTTTGATAGACTCCACTGCAGAAGAAGCTTAGGATTTGATCAAGAAAATGGCCTTGAATCATCAACAATTTAGTGCAAGAGATACTCAAGCGGTACACGAGTTGGGAGCTTCAACAGTTCACAACAGAAGAATAGACACCTTGGAATCAAAGGTTGATTCCTTGGAAAGTAAAATGACTTCTTAATTGTCCCTTATCACTACAGAGTTGAAGAATATGAACGTGCATAGACCAGCACCCCCTATAGGTATTACTGCCCCTAGTTGTGAGACTTGTGGCTCGGTTATGCATATTTCTAGTGTCTGTCCTGGCCGATATGAAGAGGTATCTGCGGTTTTCCAGGGTCATCCAAATCAGAAGTAGGACCCTTACTCCAACACTTATAATGAGGGGTAGAAAGCGAACCCTTGACTTGGCTAGAGAAATGAAGAGAGTAGACCTCCAAACAGATTTCAAAAGAGTGGAGCTGGCTCATCCTCAAACCAGTTCCAAAACCAACCTCAGGCCTTGACTATTCCACCTAAAGAAGACACCAATCAACTCTTGCATAACATGATGGCCTTAATGAAGGAAGAAAGGACTTCTAATGCAAATCAGTTCATCTCATTAGCTTCATTAATTTAATAAGACTCCTCTAAAAATGATGCTAGATTCAGCGCTTTAGAGAAAAGAATGGGGCATTGGGAGACAAAGGCTGAGAACATTAACTCCTATGTAACTCAGCTGTCCAAGGGTTTAAATGCCATCACTCTTTAAAGTGGGAGGCAAGTGAAGTTTAATGAAGAGGAGGATGAAACTGTTGATGAGGAGATTATTTGTGATGATCTGTACTTACCTTCCAAAGAGGTCAAGAAGTCAGAAAGTTCCAAAGAGATGAAATTGTGACGAAAGGAGTCTACTACTAAGCATGATGGTAAGGAGAATGCAAAGGAATTTGAACCAAGCAAACATAGAGCCTTTAGCAAGGAAGGTAAGGAGGTAAACATTAATGAACTACCTTTTCCTCATTCTTACTTGAAAAATGTAAAAATGGGCAATGAAAGGAAAGATCATGAATTGCTTGAAACTTTTAGGAAAGTAGAAGTCAATATTCCCTTGCTTGACCTGATTAAAAAGATTCCTAAATATGCAAGAGTTCTAAAGAGTTGTGTACACAAAAGAGGAGGTTTAAGCCTAATGAAAGAGTTCAACTGCCCTTAATGTGTCTGCCTTGTTTAAACCCCAAATCCCTGTAAGATGTCAAGACCCTGGATCTTTCACTATCCCTTGCACTATAGGAAAAGTCACTATAGGTGGAGCCTTGCTTGATCTAGGAGCAGCCATTAATGTCATGCCTAAGTCTGTTTACACTTCACTAGGAGTCAAGACTCTTAAGTCTACTACTGTTGTACTCCAACTAGCTGATAGGACTATTAGGTATCCTAAGGGCATTATTGAGGATATTTTGGTTCAAGTTAAGGATTTGGTTTTTCCTACTGATTTCTATGTGCTTGACATGTCTTCTGAGCTTGTAAATGACACCACACTAATCCTAGGTCGACCTTTCTTAAGGACTGCTAATACCATGATTAGCATGAAAGAAGGGACCATTACAATGGAAGTAGGTGATAATAAAGTTTCTTTTAACATGTATGAAGCAATGAAACATCCTTATGAGGACTATTCACTATTGGGTGTTAACATGATAGACATTGCTGTTGAGGATGCTTGCTCTCAAATTGAATTGCAACATGACTCTTTTTATTCTGACCTTTACTTTACTGACTCTAATGATGAAGATGAATCTGTTTCTTCTTTTTCATATCTTTATTCATCTCTTTCTACTTGTTCATGTGGTGGTGACGTGACATGTCTTGACTGTACTGTGGTTAATTGCATGCTTTCCATACCGTCTACATTTTCTGTGTCATCTACCAATGCCAATTTAATTTGTGATTCCTCTATTATCAATGATAATTCCCTTGGGGAAAGGTTTTTTGTTCATGTTTCAGATTGCCCTAACATCAAAGAAGCTGATGCTGAAATGGGAAATGATGATATGAAAAAGAATCCCTCCAAGGCGGTTGCTGCTGTAGATCAACTTAAAGTTGGTTCAATGCTTGGAGAGGAAGTGAGCTGCAAAGCTGATCAAATTCAACTAGAGCTATCATTGGTTGAAGAAAAAGGGAGTAATATGTTCTCTCTTGAACTTCATAAATTGATCCTTTCTGTTGTGTAACCACCTATGATTGATTTAAAACCCTCGCCCCTACTCTGAAATATGCTTTCCTTGAGTCTAATGAACAATTACCTATTATTATTGCTAACTCGCTGTCTGAGAGTAAGGAAGAGAGACTCTTATCTGTTTTAAGGGAGTATAGGAGGGCAATAGGGTGGATTCTAGCTGACATTCCTGGAATTAGTCCAGCTATTTGCACACACAGGATTCTGCTTAGTGAGGGATCAAAACCAGTGAGGCAGCCCCAAAGGCGACTGAACCCTCTTATACTTGATGTAGCTAAAAAAGAGATTACTAAGCTCTTGAGTACAGGGATTATCTATCCTATTTCTGATAGTGAATGGGTCAGTCCAGTACACGTAGTACCTAAAAAGAGTGGGGTGACAGTGGTTAAGAATGAACGGGATGAGCTTATCCCTACAAGGGTGCAAAATTCATGGTGTGTGTGCATAGATTATAGAAAACTTAATGATGCCACACGAAAAGATCATTTCCTTATTCCTTTCATAGATTAAATGTTAGAGAGGCTGGCTGGCAAGTCACATTATTGTTTTCTAGATGGGTTTTCAGGTTATTTTCAAGTTCCTATAGCACCAGAGGATCAGGACAAAACCACTTTTACATGCCCTTTTGGTACCTACGCTTATCGTAGGATGCCATTTGGGTTATGTAACGCTCCAGGCACCTTTCAAAGGTGTATGATGGCGATTTTTAGTGACCTCCTTGAGAAAAACATGGAAGTCTTTATGGATGACTTCACAGTCTATGGGGAGAGCTTTGATCAGTGCCTGAATACCTAAAACAGGCTCTTGAGAGGTGCATAGATAAGAAGTTGGTCTCAAATTTTGAGAAATGTCATTTTATGGTGGATAGTGAGATAGTTCTAGGGCACCTAATCTCTAAAAAAGGGATTAAGGTTGATAAGGCTAAGATTGAAGTTATATCCTCACTTCCTTATCCCACCTGTCTTAAAGATTTGAGATCCTTCTTAGTGCATGCGGGGTTTTACCGGGGATTTATTAAAGATTTTAGTAAAGTTGCCTTACCCCTTTCTACTTTGTTGAAAAAAGATGTAGAATTTAACTTTGATGACAATTGTAGACATGCTTTTGATACTCTTAAATCTATGCTTGTTTCACCTTTAATCTTAACTGCACCTAACTGGGATTTAAACTTTGAGCTATCATGTGATGCTTCAAATTTTGCAGTAGGTGCCATGCTTGGTCAGAGAGAGGAGAAGCAATCAAGAGTCATAGCCTATGCGTCTAAAACACTTGATCCAGCTCAAGTCAACTATACCACTACTGAGAAGGAGATGTTTGCTATTGTGTTTGCCTTAGATAAGTTTAGGCAATATCTAATCAATTCTCGAGTGGTTGTTTTTACAGATCATGTGGCTATCTGCTATCTATTTAAGAAGCCACAATCTAAACCAAGATTGATATACAAGAGTTTGACATTGAGATAAAAGATCGAGCCGGGGTAGTGAATCAAGTAGCCAATCATCTAAGTAGGCTACCAGAGGACACAAGGGGAGTAGACTCTTCTGAACTCACTTGTGATTCTTTTCCTGATTCCGCTTTATATGCTGTGATTGTTAAGGAACCTTGGTATGCTGATATTGTCAATTATCTCATGTTTGGACTCACCCCTCCTTTTATGTCTAGATTCCAGGCACAGAAGCTTCAAAGTGAGTCCCAACACTACATATGGGATGCACCACATCTGTGGAGAATGCGTAGTGATTAGGTTATTAGGAAGTGTGTGCCAAATGAAGATTTTGAGCCCATCATTTCAGCTTGCCATTCCATGGTTTGTGGGGGTCATTTTAGTGCAAGGAGAACATCTAGGAAAATCTTAGATTCTGGATTTTATTGGCCAACCCTTTTTAAAGACTCTTTTGCATTTTGTCGGTCCTGTGACAAATGTCAACGTTTTGGAGGGTTAGGAAAAAGGCATGAGATGCCTCAACAGCCTTTACTATTTTGCGAAATTTTCGATGTTTGGGGCATTGATTTTATGGGACCCTTTCCTTCATCCTTAGGTTTTGTATATATTTTGTTAGCTGTAGATTATGTGTCCAAATGGATTGAAGCGATACCTTCTAGAAAAGATGATGCCCAAGCTATTTTGAAATTTCTTAAATCAAACATTTTCTGTTGGTACGGGATCCCTAAGGCTGTAGTGAGTAATAGGGGTATACATTTTTGTAATAGGATTGTAGATAATCTGTTTTCAAAATTTGGTGTCACTCATAAAGTCTCCACTACCTACCACCCCCAAACTAATGGTCAAGCTGAAATTTCCAATAGAGAGGTGAAGCACATACTGGAGAAGATGGTGAGGCCTTCCAAGAAAGACTGAAGTTTACATTTGGAAGAAGCATTATGGGCTTACTGGATGGCTTACAAATCACCTATTGGCATGTCTCCCTACCGGTTGGTTTTTAGGAAAGCTTGTCATCTACCAGTAGAGCTTGAGCACAAGGCTTATTGGGCAGTTAAGCAGTGTAACGTGAATATAGACTCTGTCGGAAAAGAAAGGAAGTTGCAACTACAAGAGCTGGAGGAGTTTAGACTTGAAGCTTATGAAAATTCCAGACTCTATAAGGAGAAAAAAAAGTTCGTGCATGACTGGGGAATCCTACGAAAGCACTTCAAAGAGGGTGATCGAGTATTGTTGTATAAGGCCCAGTTCACTTTCAAGCAGGAAAAATTCAACACCAGATGAGACGGGCCCTACACGGTCACAAGAGTGCACAACTTTGGCATGGTTAAGCTTTTGCACGAGGAGACTGGAGCTAGACTAAAAGTCAATGGCCATCTATTGAAGCTCTACCATGAGAATCAAAAGCCTCCTTAATTCTCAGGTTGTTTCCTTCCTTCACTTATTTACTTACCTTTGCCCTATTATTGCTCGTGATATATTCTGTGTTTTGGTGTGCTGATTGAGTATTGGGAAGATACCATCTCAGTAGTATAGTTTTAGTGTAGTTAGTTATTTTCCTGTTCAATAAGATTCCCTTCTTGATTTTGAATATCTATCTTTTCTCATTGTGTGCTTAATTACTATAGTGCAGTAAATTGTTGCATTATCTGTCTTTGATGGATAAAGAAAGTTTGCTACTTAATTTTGTGTGTTGTGCTGCCTTATCTTGTGTTTGTTGAGCACCTATTGATCTTATTTTGTATACCTAAAAAGTTTTTGAAGTATCCAGCTGCCCTCTGTGTTTTTGTGTTTTGTTCCTCCACTGCTTGGTTGTTTCTGTGTGTTTTGAGCGTCTCTGGCAACTTTCGCCGCGGCGAAGTTGCCCAGTTTTTCTTTTGTTGCTCTCAGTGAACTTTTGCCGCGGCGAAGCTCACCCAATTTTGTGTCTTGCTCTCAGGATACTTTCGCCGCGGCAAACTTATGTTTCGCCGTGGTGAAGATCCTTTTCTTCCCCTTCTCCTCGTTTCAGGAAGGTTTCACCGCGGCGAACGCTCGGATTCTGCACATGCGTTTTCTTTAAAATCCAATTTTCTCAGTGTAATTTTACCTCTTTACCCCTTGTAACTCCCTACCCATTCATTTCTCTTAACTCCATTTTAGTCTTTTCACCTCCCCTTAACCTTTAACCCCCCTTCATTCGCAAAACCGCACACACTCACCTTCAGTTTCATTTTTACTGAAACGCTCCCCCTCTCCTTCAGTTTCCAGTCAGCGGCTCCCATTCCCCCTCTCCTTGCATTACCTTCGTTTCATTCCTCCCTAGTACCAGTTCCTGGTTCTCCTTTGTCACCTTCCTCCTTCCCTCTCTACACTAGGACTTCTCTTTCTCCTTATTGGTAAGTTCTTCTCCTTCTTTTCTTTCTTTTGCCTGTTTCCTTCTTGCTCTGAGTTATTATTTTTGAAACATCCTACCTTTAACCCCTCAAAGTACGCATAAGTAAGCGTTATGGTTCAAGTAGGTCATGACACAAGCTCGTGGATTTAAAATTTCAACATAATTATACGAGTTACTATTCACTGTTCAAATTCCATATTATAGACCCAATTTTGAAAAAACATAACTAAACCCATAAAAATCATATCTCCTTGCATACATATCCAATTAAGGTGATCTAGCTCTCATATTAGACCCTGGGATGTGTACTATAACTTTGCCAAATTTTGTGGCTTAACTCATTCATTTGGTAGGTCAAACTGGAGCTACAAACTCACTGCCCAGGACCTACGTTTTATCTCTTAATCTCTTTTTACTTTAATTCTTTCTATTTCTTTGGCATACATAAATTGGGTTTACACTTTACCAATCATCCTCATACATTTTTATTCATCTCATAAACATTGTAATTAAATGCATGGCATCATTAGCATCCATAACATAAATTACATAATAGGAGAATTATACATTGAATAATAACATCATTCATTAACATCAATAATTCTCCACTTCCTTCTCCTTGCCTCCCATGCCATTATTGCCCACCATTGATTGACCTAAATGGTTGGTTAAGGAGGGGTGAGATTTGGAAGAATCTCAGTATCAAACATTACCCATAAGCATGCAAGACATAATGCACATACATGACATGTTATAACATTAACATATGGATGCCATGGAAAGTAAGCTAAAGCATTTCATGCTTTCATAATATATGCTAAGGCAAAACATAACATAAACTTACAAACATAACTTTACAAATATTTCATCATAGCTTAGTCACATCATGGCAACACAGCCACATCATGCAAGCATATATATCAGGCACACAATATAGGTAAGTTTACTACCTTGTAACATAGCTTTCTTCTTGCTTTTCCTTTGATTCCCTTGTCTTTCCAACCCTATGGATTTTCGGTCAACACCATTAAATATCCTCTTGGATGTTTCAAGATCCTAAACACATTAATACATGATGCAAAACAATATTTAGAATCAAGTCATCAACTTATCTCTACTTGATTCTTTCTTGAACATACTTGAACTCTAACTTTTGAGTTTCAATTCCAACCTTCCCTAAAATTATTTTCACATACTATTCTCACATAATTTTGTATGTAGAATCCATTTCCAAGCTCAAAACAATCAAAATCCAATCCTAACCATTCAGAACAGTCAAGGCTGAACAAAATCACAAACTATGGCAAAGTTGGATTTCTTGCAAAATCAACACAGAACTACTTGATTCTTGTTGTTTCCAAGCCTTTAAACATGCTTTTAACATCCATATCATCTTCTCCTATTCCAATAAATTTCGTGTAGCACCTCTCCATAGGATTTCAATCATCAAAAATCCAATCAAACCACTACCAGCTCAAAAATAACGAGGGAGGTAAAACTACATAAAAAACGGCACACATACCTTGTTTTAGAGCTTGATCTGGCTTGGGATTGCTTGGCCTTTCTTTCTCCCTCTTCTTTCTCTCTCTCTGGAAACCATTTTGCAAGAGCTTCCCCAAGGTTTCCAAGGCTTACGACGAAATGATAGGAAGGGGAGGGGTATTTATAGAAAACAAGA